CTACTACTACCTACGACTACCTATTGCTACCTATTACTACCTACCACTACCACCACTACGACGACGACTACTACTACCACTACTACCACTACTACCACTACTACCACTACTACCACTACTACCACTACTACCACTACTACCACTACTACTACTACTACTACCACCACTACGACTACTACTACCACTACTACTACCACTACTACTACTACTACTACTACTACTACTACTACTACTACTACTACTACTACTACTACTACTACTACTACTACTACTACTACTACACACTACTACTACTACTACTACTACTACACACTACTACTACTACTACTACTACTACTACTACTACTACTACTACTACTACTACTACTACTACTACTACTACTACTACTACTACTACTAGTACTACTACGACTACCAGTACTACTACTACTACTACTACTACTACTACTACTACTACTACCTTCTACTACCTTCTACTACCTACTACTACCTACTACTACCTACTACTACCTACTACTACCTACTACTACCTACGACTACCTTCTACTACCTACTACTACCTACTACTACCTAGTACTACCTACTACTACTACTACTACTACTACTACTACTACTACTACTACTACTACTACTACTACTACTACTACTACTACTACTACTACTACTACTACTACTACTACTACTACTACTACTACTACTACTACTACTACTACTACTACTACTACTACTACTACTACTACTACTACTACTACTACTACTACTACTACTACTACTACTACTACTACTACTACTACTACTACTACTACTACTACTACTACTACTACTACTACTACTACTACTACTACTACTACTACTACTACGACTACTACTACTGCTACAACTACTATGACGACGACGACAACGACGACGACGACGACGACGACGACTACTACTACTACTACTACTACTTTTTTTGGTTTTGGAGCGAACAAGCGTTGCCTGTTGGGTGAAACTGAGGTTGGTGCTTCTACCTTTTTGCAGCTCAGCTGGAGCCGTCTGGATTTTGCACCAACTATTGATGTACCGCCACTGAAGGAGATAACGGTCTCGAGAACATGACATCTTGGTTGACCGTGAAATAGGATGAAAGAAAAGAAGAAGAAGTAGCAGTAGTAGAAGCAGCAGCAGAAGTCGGACTAGGAGTAGTGGTAGTAGGCAAAAAATACAAGTAGCAAGGGTTGCCAGGTGATGCAAGAAGTATGACTTCCGCGCAGTGGCAGGCCTGAGAAAAACATGCCACTCTTACTGCAGGCAGCCCCTGTTGAATGCGTGCTTCCTTCACTCTCTTATTGACCTATCGTTGGCCGTGTTACATCTCTTGATTCACTGCTTCTACTTCTACTTCTACTGCTACTTCTTCGACTACTACTACTGCTGCTACTGCTACTGCTACTGCGACTGCCTTGGAACAGAAACGAAACACGAGACTTGAGACCACTTGGAAGCTGCATGCCGGAAAAGAGCAAAGCTGCATTGCGTGCTCTAAAGCAAAATTGGAGTAATTTTTTTGAAAAAAAAAAACCAAAACAAATTCTTTAAAATCGTCTTCTTGCGGTTTCCAAAAATGGTGCCGCGTTTTGAGGGGAAACTGAAGGGAAGCTTTGACGGAAGAGGCTCAAATTTAATGCCATTAGTTTTCTGCACTTAAGGCAGGATTGTCCTGCTTGATCCGAGAGGCTATTCAGATAACACATTATGCAATGTTTTCAACAAGCGCTTTCATAGAAAAACAGAAGCCAATGGAAATAAATTTACTGGACACACAAAACATTGGTTGGATGTTGGTTGTGGTGTTAAGATGTTGGAAAGGTGTAGAGATGTTGAGAAAGGTGTTGAGGGAGGCAGTTGAGGGAGGTGTTGAGGAAGGTGTTGAGGGAGGAAGGTTGTTGGAGGTGTAGGTGTTGAGAGGAGAGAGAGTGTTGAGGAAAGTGTTGAGGAAGGTGTTGAGGGAGGTGTTGAGGAAGATGTTGAGGGAGGTGTTGAGGAAGGTGTTGAGGAAGATGTCGAGGGAGGTGTTGAGGGAGGTGTTGAGAAAGGCGTCTTCTGAGGTGTCAAGGAAGGTGTTAAGGAGGTGTTGAGGGGGGAGGTGTTGAGTGAGATGTTGAGTGAGGTGTTGAGTGAGGTGTTGAGTGAGGTGGTAAGTGAAATGTTGAGTAAGGTGTTGAGTGAGGTGGTGAGTGAGGTGTTGAGTGAGGTGTTGAGTGAGGTGTTGAGTTTGTTGTTGAGGTGCTTGTTGAGGTGCTTGTGAGGTGCTGTTAAGGTGCTGTTGAGGTGCTGTTGAGTGTTGAGGTGCTGTTGAGGTGCTGTTGAGTTGAGGTGTTGTTGAGGTGTTGTTGAGGTTGTTGAGGTGTTGTTGAGGTGTTGTTGAGGTGTTGTTGAGGTGTTATTGAGGTGTTGTTAAGGTGTTGTTGAGGTGTTGTTGAGGTGTTGTTGAGGTGTTGTTGAGTGTTGTTGAGGTGTTGTTGGGGTGTTGTTGGGGTGCTGTTGGGGTGCTGTTGGGGTGTTGTTGGGGTGTTGTTGGGGTGTTGTTGGGGGTGTTGTTGGGGTGTTGTTGGGGTGTTGTTGGGGTGTTGGTGAGGTGTTGGTGAGGTGTTGGTAAGGTGTTGAGGTGTTGAGGTGTCGAGGTGTCGAGGTGTCGAGGTGTGGAAGTGTGGAGGTGTGGAGCGGTAGGTCCCAGGTAGGTGTTGAGGTGTGGAGGTGAGGTCGGTGTTGAGGTAGGTGTTGAGGTAGGTGTTGAGGTAGGTGTTGAGGTGTTGAGGTGTTGAGGTGTTGAGGTGTTGGGGTGTTGAGGTGTTGAGGTGTTGAGGTGTTGAGGTGTTGAGGTGTTGAGGTGTTGAGGTGTTGAGGTGTTGAGGTGTTGAGGTGTTGAGGGGTTTACGTGTTTGCTTGCCCAGGGCAGATGCAAGAAACATCTGTATGTCTTCGTTGCCCAGACAGGTTTGACAATGGCTGATGTCGGAAGGTGGGCTTTGGAGACGTGGTTCGGGTTTACATGATTTAGGGTTTCGGTGTTGCGGGGTTTTGGAGTTGAGGTTCTTGATGCCAGATCTGTTCAAAGACGCTGAGGTCCAAGATAGAACCTTGAAAGCCGAAACCCGAAAAATCCGGCCAGGTGCACGCGAGCCGCTGGCAGCAATGAACTCTTAAGCACCCTGACCGAAGAGTGATACAACGGGGTTTATTGTGCAACTCCACGAGTGTTGCCCTTGATGGCTTGGTCAGGCGAACTGTTAAACAAGATGTGGTGCCAGAGGAGACACTGAGAGCGACGGTTCAAAGGAGGAGGCCAACAGTCGGGAAGAAACCGCTCTGCAGGTCCGAAACTGGGTCTCAGAGTTCCATACCAACTCAGTTGGCTACCTTCGTCGACGTGTGTCCCGTTCCGCATCCCCCCAATGAAATACCGCCATTGGAGAAGGCATTGTCTCCAACTTCTCGTTGAGGGCCCCCATTCCCGGGCAGCCTAAGTGGCGCGCAGTGTGAGCATCATGGACTGCCCAGCTTAGGATGACCGCCGCTGTCAATGAGAACAAAAGCAGCTTGAACCATTGGTGGGCCCGAATGTACGGCAGTGACCAATGCCAATATCCTGAGAGTTCCCGCTTCAACTTGACAACGGAGAGATGGTGCATGAGGGGGACGTTCAATTGGCCATCCTTGCACTTGTGCAGCGAGCACCGCTGGTGTTGGCCAATCTGGCGGGAGTTGTAGCTATGGAAGGTACCCCCCCTTGGGGTGCTGAAGTGGAAGAGATTCTGGACGAAACGCTTGCTCAGGCCAGCGCATCCCCGGTTGGGGATGCACAACTTCGGACAATAAATTGTTTTGCGATTGTGATACAGGTGAGAAGGATCGCTCTGCACGGGTGTCCACCAAATAAACACCTTCGGCGTGCGCACACATCGAGCTTGTGTGAACAGTGAAGATGGAGATTTTGCTTGACTTGGCAAGTGCAACAATCAGCTGAATCGCATTTTGCGAAGCTGCGCATTATCTTTGAGCAAGACACACACGGTGATTGGTGATTGGTTCGTTGGTTCTTGTTGGCCTTTGCTTTGTCTTTGTTGGTTTAGTAGTTTTTGCTCGTTTCACTTTGTCGCAATAGACCGGCCTACTGTGCTGCTGATGCGGGAAAGGGGCGCCCGCTTTGAAAAAAAGATACTATGCAATTCTTGGGAGGCTTCTGGCGTATTTGGCATGTTGGGGCTCGGAGGGCTGCAGTAAGGTACCCAGGCACCTTGCCAGTGTTGCAAGCGGTCCGAAGTTGTGTCATCGTCCTCCTACTCGGCTCGTCACTCATAAGCGTGCGCCCTGTGCGTGTTTCGCGGCCCATCAAGATGCAAGATGGGCCCGCGAAGACAAGAACCGAGAACGAACAAAGCCTGCGGTGTTGCATGCAAAAAGGGGAAGGAGGACGGCCTCGACCCCCTTCGCACAATACACGAAGCCAACGTACCATTTCCCGAAGCTCGAGCATATATCAACACGCAAAGCTTGCACTATCACTGCACACGGGTTTTGGTTTCCTGGTCCTTCGGTTTGCTTGTCCTTCCCTGTGCTGCGGGTGGGATGGCTGGGCTTTGCTTATCGCGCTTTTGGCGCCATGATCTTCAGTGCCTACATACTGTGCTGGAAAATAGGACGCCCAGGAATAGTACTTGTGATTCATCAATGCTTCTGCATTGCATAGCGTCCTTCCCCTCAAAGTTGAAACCCCGCAGTACGAATAAGGGAGCCCCACCTAAGGGTTTGGATTTGCGGTCTAGGGTTTAGGGTCTAGGGTTTATAGGGTGTAGGGTTTAGTTTTTTTTTTTGGTTCGTGCTGTGGGTTTTGCACAACACCCAGGCATCGCTTCCCTTGCTGTGAGTTTGTTGTCTAGCCAGTTTAGCCTATCCCGCTGCCGAGTGTATCAACCTTTTCCGGAGCATCCGCTAGGCCGCTCTGATATTTTCCAGTTTTCATGGATAGCCACTCTATTGTGCAGTTCTTCTCATCAGCGTTGCAACAGCATGGCACGAAGGCGCCTTCAGACCGCAACTTGTCCGGCCTCGTGTTCAGGGTTGTCGGACTATCGAAGCTGCTGTATGGGCACAGGGAGCCTGTGTTGGAAGCACCTGGATTCAGTAGGTAGGTCTATCGGACAAAAGTGTGTCAGCCAGGAAGAATGTCTCAAGCATTGTCAAGCTTAGGCACCGACAGCTTTGTGATGTACACCGTGCCGGCCGATGCTTTCCTGCAGATGACAGAAGTCAAGATGCACGAGGAGCTCGTGGACGCGGGTGTGGTGAAAGAATTTCATGAGAGCATGGGAAAGGCCATGTTCGTGTCGCACCAGTGGCTGAGTGACGCCCATCCTGATCCCCACTTCCAGCAGCTCAGAGTTCTTCAGGATGCCCTGAAGAACATGGCTGCCGGAAGCAGCACCATCTCCCTGGCGATCTTCTCAGAAATTGTGTACGGTCGCACAAGATGCCCCCCAGCCGGCGACTTCGCCTGCGGCCGACTTCACATCTGGTATGACTACTTTAGCATCCCACAGAGCAGCGGTGGCCGCGCATCTCAGCGCCGCCAGGCTGCCATCCAAACCAGCCCAGCCTTCGTGGCAAGGTGCGAGTTCTTTGTCGTGCTGTGCCCGGCCTTGGAGCACACAAACCAGCAGCGGACGTTGAGCTATTCAACTTGGTGCGAAAGGGGGTAGCTGAGTTGCACATGGCATCTTGTAAGCCTTTGACGATGCGCTTGTTTACCCCCATTTTACGCCTAGGTGTTGCCGGTTCCTTTTCTTGCACCCAGGTGGTGTCGCACAGAGAGAGCCGCACGCGAACTCTCCATGTACAGTGGCGGGTACGTCATTCTTGTAGAGAGCGCCACGCACCAGACACTGATGTGGGCAGGACTGAGCATGAGGGATGCACCTGGTGAAGGAGAGTTTACACTTGACAGTGACAGAGTGTGGATCGGTCGTATGGCTACGCAGATGGTGTGGTCCAAGCTTTTCTACTACCTCGAGCGTGGACAATTTCACAACTACCGGTTCCTTCTCAACTCACAAGCGGCGGCATATTTCCGCGCTCTTGACGTGGAGCCGATTGACTGTCTTATTCCGGGATTTTCCACTGAGATCGACCCGAATGTTGACTGCAAGGGTTTCATGCTGGAGCGTTTCCTGCATCACAACGGCTTCAGGAGCGTTAAAGACCCAAAGCGTCCCAAAACCTTCAGCCCCCAAACTTGCGAAGTTCATAACTCCATATAGGTGTCCTCGAAGTTGTGCTCGTCAGGAACATCTTCGAGCGGGACGATGGAGGGTTTCCGCCCATTTGCTTTGCGGCGATGGGCAACAACCTCGTGGTGCTGCAAGCGCTTCTTGACCGAAGGGTGGATATCAACCAGGCTACGACCAAGCCCAAGACAGAAGTCAATTTTCCCGGCAAGCTGACGGCTCTGGGAATAGCTTCCTTACTCCGCAACAATGAAGCTGTTGAGCTGCTACTGTGCGCCAGAGCCCACATCAACTACAAGGATGGTTTTGGTGGCAATGCCCTCCATACGGCGTGTGCCGGGGACAATCCACGCGGGGTGCGTCTACTCTGCCATGCTCGTGCCGACATGAATCAACAGTCTGTGCCGGGAATGAGCCCTTTCATGATTTCGTGTGCGTGCGGAAGTCAGCGTGCCATGAAGGAGATGCTCACTCTGAATCCAGATTTGAGCTTGCGACATTGCCTACACATCGCACTCATGTTCGCTGGAGCTGGTTCTGCCGACGTGGTTTCCGTTCTGCTCGCTGCGCGGGCGAATGCAAATGAGCAGTTCCGGGTACAGATCCGGGAGCCCGGGTGGTGGCTTCTAATGAACGAATTGGGTGTGAGGCATCGGGTAAGCCCATCCAGGCTGACTCTGTTGGCATATCATCATTACGATGCTACGCCGCAGATGTTCAGCATTCTGGGTGGTTCGCTGGATTCCGTGTCCACTTTGCTGTCAGCCCGAGCCCGCATAGACATCCAAAATTACCGTAAGAAAACGGCATCCGATCTGGCACGCCAGATGCTCGCGCCATCGTGGTTGATCGAGGTCTGCTGTGCTAAAGGCCAGCAAGACACCGAGACCCCTGCCGAGAGCGACACGTTTTCCATTTGAGAGGTTCTGGGCGACGCTGAAGGCGTGTCCAAGTCTCACGGTGTCAATTCGTTTTCAATTAGTCTTCATGGCTGGAATCAGGTATGCACCAAACCCACGTAGTCTTCAACACCCGAAAAGTTGCAAAACAGCATACGATTATGCAGTCCTGCATTTCGTATCACCTAAGACAGCAGAACAGTAAGTAGAACACGTACATCACTACTGTCTGCCACCATGAATTTCTATACGTTACACTTCGCATTCGGTCTATCGTTGGTTCATGTGTATATACACATACACATCTGTACATATATATATATATACATTCATACATATGCTAGCCCCCTATTGACCACCCCATGTGCTATAAGAGGGCGGTGTTTACGATAGAACAACGAATGATGGTCATGTAATTTTATAACTTGCTGCTGATTGTTGCGCTTGTTCTCTCACATGAAGTCTCTGCATTCGATAGGAAAGATGTATAATGCTTGATGGAATGCTCAAAGATTACCCTACAGAATACATTATAGAATACTTTATATAATATGACCGTTATGCCCTCCCCACAACTTATCAATACCATCTGGAATACCCTGTGATTACTTTATAGGATACCCCCTAGAGAGGGGTCTTCGATAAGGTCTATAGGGTATACAGGGGAATACACTATAGAATGCTTTGTATATCATTTCCGATATAGGCAAACAGAACACTTCTTGCGTTGCATACCTGTCAAGTTGTAGCAAATCAGCAGGTTCAATTGAGGCACATGTGTCCATGTGCATGTGTGGGTCGAGGCCAGCGCAAAGCGTGAGCGAAGGGGCCCGTGCTCATGGCGAGACAGTACAGACGCAGGGCTGTGTTCGAAAATAGCCCAGCTTCAGATTCGCACAGGTTACAGATGCTTGGGTGATTTGGATGTCTACAAAAGCACGTGATGACTGTCCCAATAATCTGTTATGGAGGGACAAAGTCCAGCTTCACCTGCTGAAGAAGTCTCTCGCACCCAAGGTTCAGTCGTTTTTTTTGGGTTTCAAAAACAGACTCCTCTTCTTGGTTCACCTTTGATTCTTGTGGTGACGCATTTTGCTATTTCGGGCTCATTTTGAGGGGCGACAAAAATCCGATCTTCAGATGATTTATGAAAAGATCGGAAGGTCTGTCTTGAGTTGTAAGCAGTTTGTTCTACCACTGGCGGGGTGTGTAGATGTGTTTTTGATTGTGGGAGAGCCAAGCAAGCATGGGTTGGTTCTGCAAATTTATGTTTTCACGTTACTTTCCAAGCTCTGCATTTGCTTAAGGCCCGCCTCGCTATACTGTCTCAGTTCACGAACGAACCCTAAAACCTGTAAAGCTTGAACCTTGAACGCTGAAACCTAAACCCTAAACCCAAAACCCTAAACCCAAAACCCTAAACCCTAAACCATAAACCCTCAACCCTAAACCCTAAACCCTAAACCTGCAAGTGGGCTCGGCCACGACAGCTGACACTGCTTCTGCCTCCTCATGCCGTTGTGCTGACACGATGCTCCAGGACAGTTCGATCGTTTTCAGTGAGTCCGGAAGACATGTTAAGGACAAAACTGCAGTAAAGACCTGTTGTGCTGCTGAAATAAAATATGAGTTTTGATTCTTCTTTGCCTTGGATTCAGCATCCAGAATGCTAACTTTCAAGTCCAAAACTCACAACCCAGATTTCAGGGCGCCCCCCTAGTATCTCAAGCCTCCAACCCATGAAGCCAAAAGTGCTTATGCAGTTGTAGGCTTCACGTGCAAGAATATAGGGTTTAGGGTTTAGGGTTTAGGGTTTAGGGTTTAGGGTTTAGGGTTTAGGGTTTAGGGTTATAAACTAAATCTGCATTCGCCTCATGCGCCCTGTTGGTGCTGCGCTTCTCTTGGCTGTTTCGCTCCGTCCTCAGCAGAGGGCATGGCGTTGGTCAATCCTTTCAACATTTAGGGTTTAGGGTTTAGGGTTTAGGGTTTAGGGTTTAGGGTTGTGAGGGTTTTGTGTCGTGCGCCATGTACCTGCCGAAGCCTCCAGAAGGTTTTGGCTTCCGTCTTTATCATTCTTTATCGTATTTGAATGCAGTGTGTACCCCTAAACCCTAAACCCCAAACCCTAAACCCTAAACCCTAAACCCTAAACCCTAAAAACATGAGGACAAGGTTCCACACAATGCCCTTTGATACTCGAGCACCTGGAAGCCTGAAAGCCCAAGCCCGAAGGCCTGGCGAAGCTAGGCTCAGGGCTTGTGGGTTTAGGGTTTAGGGTTTAGGGTTTAGGGTTTAGGGTTTAGGGTTTAGGGTTTAGGGTTTAGAGTCTCAACGTGTTTCTTCAAGTTTACCTCGGCTTAGCGTTTCGGGCTACAAGCAGTCTTTGTGCCTGACGCAAGTTGTTGCTTGTTGTTGAAGCTTGTTTTTGCGCGTTAAGAGAACTGAGGGTTGCGAAGGGTTTAAGGCTTCGGTGGACCAGGGTTTGTCTTCGGTTTGTGAACCCTAAAACCTAAACCCTAAACCCTAAACCCTAAACCCTAAACCCTAAACCCTAAACCTTAAACCCTAAACCCTAAACCCTAAACTCTAAACCCTACACCCTACACCCTCGGCCCGTCAGTTCCCCTTCTCCTGCGAGGCCTGCGTTTCGGGTGCCGGGGCCCTGCAGTTCCTGGCCACTTGACTGGCAGGTTTTGTTTTGGTGTTTTATTTTCAGACTGAAGGTTGATTTAAGGACTGAACAAAACCGAGAGGGTATAAGAGGCTTTGACAAGGCTTTCATTTCAATGAAGTTTAAAGCGGATTTGAGAAGCTTTTGGGGCTTTTTGGGCTGGCTTGGGGGGTTCTGCGGCAGGACAATTCTGCTCAAACCCTAAACACTAGGTCACGAGGTCCTGATCCTTGTGCAACCGACAGTTTTTCTTTGGGGGTTATCGGTTAAATCGGCGAGGCTTTCAGGTCGTCCCTCCAAACCCAAAGCGCCATCCAAACTGTCGTGAGCACACTCCTCCACGGTACAATGTTGCAAAAGAGTTTCTGAGAGCAAGAAGGGTATGAAGGACATGAGAAGGCTGGTTTGTAGCCCAAAACCCTTTTGCTGTCTGACAGAATGCGTCAGAGTCGTTGTAACGCCAAAGTTTTCAATGAACCCAGGGCCAAGGGCTTGGGATTTCGGTGCTTAGGTGTTTAGGTGTGTGGCTGTGTAGGTGTTGAGGTGTTGAGGTGTTGAGGTGTTGAGGTGTTGAGGTGTTGAGGTGTTGAGGTGTTGAGGTGTTGAGGTGTTGAGGTGTTGAGGTGTTGAGGTGTTGAGGTGTTGAGGTGTTGAGGTGTTGAGGTGTTGAGGTGTTGAGGTGTTGAGGTGTTGAGGTCTCGAGGTGTTTAGCGGTTTCCGTGTTTGCTTGCCCAGGGCAGATGCAAACATCTTGAGTTCTTCGTTGCCCAGACAGGTTTGACAACGCTTGGCTGAAGTCCGAAGGTGGGCTTTGGAGACGTGGTTTTGGGGTTTCAGGATTTAGGGTTTAGGTGTTGCGGGGTCAGGGTCCGTTTCGGATTTTGTCTTAGAAAGGGTTCTAAGATGTTTAGGAGGTCAGGGGTTTAAATTGTCGGTTTAAGTTGAAGCTGGGGCTTTACGGGCTTCGGGTCCAAGAACAATTCACAGGACCCACACTGTGACATGCATAAATATGCAGGCTCCTGTGAAATTCGAGCTGTCTGAGTCGCGATTCAGGGTTTGGGGTTTAGCAGCTCCTGGGTATGTGAAATGGAGACGGAAGCCTGGGACCCTCGAACCAAAAGCCCGAACAAACTCCTGCAAGAAGCACTGACACCTTTATGGAAAGCCGAGGAGAGCAGGTCGTTGACTTCCCTTGGCATTTTGCAGCATTTGTTGGGGGGGGGGGGGGCTCGGGGCTGTTGGGCTGATCCAACTCTCCGGATTCCTTTAGCTTTGGGGAAAATTCAGAACGATTTTGGGCCCCAGGGCGAATTGAAGGCGGCTTGACGCTCACGGGGCCCCCTGAACCTGCCTGCCCGTCGCTCGTCCCGCAGCCATCTTTCCGGGCGCAGGAGCTGTCTCGAAAGCGCATGAAGTAATGCTGCAAACAGCTTCAGGCTGGAGCATCAACTACTTCAACTTTCCTCTAGCCCCAACCCCCACCCGCATGCAGCCAAGCTTTGCCTTTTGTGCTCCACGAAGCAACCTTTAGACGCCGTCCAATTGCAAATCCGAACCTGAAGCAACATACACAGCATGCTCTGGACCAAAGCCTCAACCTCCCACGAACCCATGAACTTGTGGTCCCAACGGAGTTTTCTTTGCATTCTAGGATTTCCGGGCCATCCCTGCCTGAAACTCGTGGGCGGGTTGTCCGAAGTGCCAAAGTCTGCACCCTGTCTTGTGCCCAACTCAGCAGTGTGCTTCCTTCGTCCTGAGGGGTTCAGGCCCAAGCTTGTGCAAGCCTTCAGGGCTTTGGGGGGTTTCAGGGTGACCGGCTTCGGATGTTTGAATAGATATTCAAAGTTCTAGGAACTCGACTCAAACCGGAGCCACTAGAGACCCCAAGGCTTTGTGTACTTTGGGGAACGGGGGATGCAGCATTTTCGTGTAAAGAAGATGGGTGGGCAGATGGGGGCGATTGCTGCACGCCCCCCCCATTGCTGGGGCTCTGGGGCATGGTGGTTGAAACAAGGTTTGGGTACTGCCTAGCAACTGTTGCCTATATCCCCCTTGGGAACTTTTTTTTTTTAAAACATTTTTTGTTTATACAAAACCCAAGAGGGTATTAACAATATGTTTTTTTGATTAAGGTCCTAAGGGGAGTATAGTTACGTAACCTGCCAGGGTTGCAAGGTTTGGCTTTAGATGCTAAGCTCGGGGGTTGAAGGGCGAAATGCAGGACCGGACCCTGTTGGCAGGAGAGTGCGCTGATTAGGGTTTAGGGTTTAGGGTTTAGGGTTTAGGGAGTCTATTGGCTGGGCACACACACACACACTAGTTCAAAGAGACACAGAGACTGAGACAAACCAACAAATCATCAATCAATGCCTAACTTTGCTCTAATATGCTCTAATCACATGTTGTGTTGACTGTACAATGCACGTAAAAGACATGACTATTCAGTGGCTTGGTTTTAGGGTTTAGGGTTTAGGGTTTTAGGGTTTAGGGTTTAGGGTTTAGGGTTTAGGGTTTAGGGTTTAGGTTGATCCTGAGTCCATTGTGTACCAACTTCTGAGTGAAGTCAAGCCTGGAGTGCTTTTTTCAACAAAGCCGAACATTGAACCCTTACACCCTAAACCCTAAGCCCTAAACCCGAAACCCTAAACCCTAAGCTTCAGACCAGAGGGTTTCGAGGTTTCGGGGTGGACTTCCCTGATGCCAGATCTGCTCAAATCTAGACGCATGTTTACGAAGCTTACCGCGATCACTGGGGCTTAAACCGGCACTTGAGATGTTCCCCTTATACTCACAGCCTTTCATGGGGATCATAATTAGAGGTACTATAATTCCGATTAAGGACTGTTAGTAAAAGGGGAACATCCCAAACCCGAAGCCTTGAAAGCCTTAAACCTGAGTTCTCCTCTGAGGTGCACGCGCTTTAGCCGCGTCGCCGTGCTGGCAGCAATGAACTCTTTGCGCCCTGACCGAAGGGTTGTACAAGCGTGGCTTAAACAATTCTTGAGAGGCTTTTGGCATACTTGGGGCTTTTGGGCGCCCAGAGGCTTCACTGTAGTGACGTACCAAGCCAGCCAGGATTCCAGCAGCACTTGTGGTTTGCCCGCGTTTCTAAAATGATTCTCACCCAGGCACCTGGCCAGTGGTGCAAGTCCCAAGTTGTGTCATCGTTCTCCTACTCGGCTCGTCGCGCATAAGCGAGCGCCCTGTGCAGCCCATCAAGATGCAAGGTGGGCACGTGAGGACTAGAACCGAGGACGAACAAAGCCTGCGCACTGCCGGTGTACTGTAGCATACAGAAAGGGGAGGGAGGACGGCCTCGAGCCCCCCTGCGCAAAGAAAACGGAGCCAAAGCGCCAATGTCCCGAAGCTCGAGCCGGTGTGCATCAACACGCAAGGCCTGCACTGTCACTGTTTTGTGGGGGTTTGCCTTAAGAATGCCCTCAGAAGATGCTCTAAGAAAGCCAGAAAGGCGAGGCGAGGCGCATTAACATGCAGGGCATGTGGCATGAGTGGGACCATCACTGTTGGCTTGTCCTTGGCGGTGCAAATGCCCCTCCCCAAGCTCGAGCAAGTGTGCAACAACACGCAACCTGGACTTTTGTGCTGTTGCACGTCCATTTGGGGGTCTGCCGGCACCCGAACAAAGTTAGTTAGTTAGTTAGCTGTTGCAAGCTGGCTGGGGTTTTCTGTTATAGGGCAGCCGAACTACCTCAGCTACGCGCCTGGATCCCAGGATCGTGCAGAGCCACGTGGTGTTGCTGCTTCTTGGCCGAGTTCACACGGTTTAGGGTTTAGGGTTTAGGGTTTTTCAAGCAACCCTTCCTCTTAACCGTGTGACCTTGTGGGGCTAGTGGGTTGGCACAGACATCCAACGATCCGACTTGGCCGTTGGTTACAATACCAGTGCCAATCAGTGGCCAAAACCGATCGGAGGCCAGTTTTGTTGGTTCTTTTTGCTTTGTGTGAGTTTAAATGGTTCAGACGCCTGGCGGTGCTTACACTTACCGTTGCATCATGTGAGAGTTCTGAGATGGTTAGAGATTCGTGCGCAAAGCGTCTACAGTACCGTCCCTTTTGATTTGTTTTGAAAGCGTGTATAGGTCAGGGTCGACTATCATCTCTGCCATAGATCATGCAGAACATCCTGAGCACAAGCGTGCACAAGCATTGACTGCAGCACTAATGGGACCAGGACAGGTACAGCAGTCTAGCTCACCTTTGAACACACGAGGTCCGAATCACTAAGCACAGGTACGGAACCTGGAAATCGAAACAAATTCCAGACCTCTTACCTGCCAACTTTGCGACCTGGAGATCAGATTGGCCAAACGAGCCCCAAAACCAGTGGCCTCCGGCTGAGCCTTGCTCCAACCAAAACGATCCTAAGCTCCCAATCTCGTCGTGGTTTGGTGAGATGAGATGGTGAGGGGGTCGGAACCAGGATCAGGTTTCCGGGATCACTGGGGCCTTTGCCGCCTTGCCAAGGTTTAGCCTTAGTTGCCTGGTATCCGCCGAGCGCGCGCTGCTGAAGGGCGCGGCGCGGCCGAGTAGAGAGTTGGTAGGTTTTGGGTTTGGGGGTTTGAGGAGAAGGGTTCGTGAAAGATCCAAACCAATCGCCGGTTGTGCGATTTTTTTTTTGTTTGTGTTTCGGGCTGCAAGGTGTACAAGTTGCTTGGTATTCCAGCTTGTGCTTGTCGAAGAAAGGATGCCCGATTTTCAAGGCAACAAGGCAGCAACTCATAAAAGCCATGAAGGGAGGTGAACCGCTCGAAATCACTGCGCTGCTCCTGCGGCATGAACGATGCCGGAGTCACCGACGTGTAGAACATCTGCCTTCAGCGCGGGTTGAGGCTTGGCCGAAAGCACCCGATAAGGTGAGCTACGGACCAGTGCCGCAGAAGCCTGCATCGGGAGGCCTGCTTTTAAACCTGATCCTCCCTATGAAGTAGGGTTTATGTTACTGTTTTTGGTGAGTGTACATAAGGTTCCCTTTTAGAATTGGTGAGTGTATATACCTGGTGTCCTTTTGGGGGTACAAGAAATATGTACCCTACTTCATATTCCTCCATTAAAGAGTACGTCCGAACCGGGAGCCCGAAAAGGTTGGCAGCAAGCCTTCAATTCCTAAACAAGAGACCTGAGATTGACAGCTGGGGACTGTCAAGTCGTCCCATCCTTCCCACATCCTGGCGACACTTTGGTGAGGCTCCTTACGCAGGCTGAATTGTCAGGGACTTCGAACTGTTGCCGGAGGGTGGCCGATAACAGTCAGGGAGGCTCCCGGAAAAGGCGGCAGGGAAGGCCGACATCCATCCCAGCGAGCCCTGAGCTACAGAGATCGGAAGTTTTGCCGGTTGAGGTTTGGGCTCAGGGCCTTTCCTGTGATCGACCAGAATAAAGTTCCAGTCCCTGAACCGTAAACACACCAACTCTGCAAAGCCGTAAGCACCAAAGCCTTAACGGGCTTCATCGCCAAACCCTTTGGAGGAGGCCACTCCCCTCTCGCACAAGACGACTGGATGGTCCAGGCGGCCAAGCCCATGTGGGGTCCGCGAGGACGGCAGGACCTGCAGGCCTGCTGTGCCCCTGTTGTTTCTGGGCTTCGGGACAAGGGTAATTCTCCCGGAGCTTGACAGGATTGTTTGTTGTGACTACGCCGCTGATTCCGCTGCTGTAGCTTGGCGTTTAGAGATATCAGGCTAGGACTAGTAGAGTCTTTGGGCCAATCACGTGCTGACCGAGCGAGTGCCTCAAGACACTGCCCCTTCAACATAACCATTGTGCCTCAAGGAAGTGATGCCAATGAAACAGTCAGAAGTAAACGCAACTTTTGGAAGGGAAAATGCAGTGCACTGCAGTTGCAGGGTTTTTTGGAGTCAGCGGGTGCTGTTCTTCCAGGTTCGGGGATCTCTCAAACTTTCAGGCTCTTTTCAGGCTTTTCTTGCCCCAATACTGTAGCTGAAGGTCATCCGCGACCTCGGGGCCAATGCGGCGCCTCGGGCTTGAAGGGATCAGGGCCATGAAGGGATTTGGGAGATTTGCCCGTTGCAGGGACTGGCGTTTAGTGCTTCGTGTTTCAGGTCGCGCGTCCTGAGGGTTGGGGGATACAGGCTTGCAAAAAAGTTCGGGGCGTCTGGGAGTCGAGAGCAGCCTTTGGGGAAGCCCGGATGTCCAGGTGCGGCTCTATGGGAACAACCCGAACCAGAGCCACCGCGGCTTTCTCGACGAGGTGCCAAGGGTTACACATGAGAAGACCCCCGATAAGCGGCCCGCCCAAAAGCTTGGGGCGTTGGCCTGAAAGCAGAAGCCTACACCTCGAAGCGTAAGTGGCGAAGTGGATGAAGTGCTAGAGGAGAGGACGTTCACAGAGGGATTTATCATGGGCTCTCTTGTGTACGGTTGGCTGTGGGCATGAGGCTTCGTGGCTTTTTGAGGGTTTGTGAAGAGCAAAAGCCGAAGGCTCAATGGACAAAGGCCCACATGCCCAAACTTTGCCTAGACCTCTGCCAGACTAGCAACCCTACAGGAAACGCACCAAGCCCATTACTGTAAACCCGCCGCCATGTGCGCACAGCGCGAAACTCGGAGCAGCAGCCTACTGCAGAGGCCCACCAGAACGATCTCCAGGTGATTCCCGGTGCCAGCGACCTGGCACATGTTTAGGGTGGAGCATTTTGTGACTTGTTGCCGTTTCGCATGCAACCTTCTTTCTGGCAATTTTGCCGAAGCCCTAGTTTTTTTGTTGATTTTGTTGACCTTCCTATTGGACTCGTCCCTCGAAACATAACATAATTTCTTGAGTGGTGCAAATTGAGCTTGCAAGACCCCAAAAGCCCTAACAAAACGCCTTGGCCAAGCAAAACAATGCGGAGTCGTAAGAACAGGCTAAACCTCCAGACTCAAGCTGTTAATTTAAGCTCCTGTGAGTGTTGGGATCCCAAGCGCGCAGGTGATTTCCCCTACACACAGATGTATCCCGGGCGATGCCTCGACACCGACTTCGCCCCTCGGCAAGCGGTAATTCAACCCCGGCGGAAAAGCCAGAGCCTGACCCTAACTAAACATTCCGATACCATCTAAGCCACTAAACGGTGCGGTTCGGGTTGTCTGTGACAGGCGCCAGTGTCCTTGCCCTTGAACCCAAGGAGTCCAAGAACAAAACTCAACCAATGACAACATCGGCATGCCTGTCCATTGAGTCCACTCTCGGCTGTATACAACTGTCCCGCTGTCACCAGCTTCCTGCCACCGTTAATGAAACGTCAAAGCTTCACCATGCGCTCAATAAACCCTATTAAGATTGTCATCAAAACGCCTGTGCTTGCTTCACGAAGAAAGTCCGGACCTAGCCCCCAAACCCCTAAACTAAACCCTAAACCCTAAACCCCAAACCCGAAACCCGAAACCCCAAACCCTAAACCCTAAACCCCAAACCCTAAACCCTAAACCCTAAACCCGAAACCCCAAACCCTAAACCCTAAACCTACAAGAAAGACTGAGCCCTGCGCAGGATTGCTTCGACCAGATACGGGGCTACTACGCCTCGAACCTTGCGGGCGGCTTCCTGACTGACGCACAGGCGTGCGTGTGGGGGGGGGGGGAAGAATCGTTTAGGGTTTAGGGTTTGGGGTTTAGGGTTTAGGGTTTAGGGGGGAGACTCGTTAGGAATTTTGGTGGCTTGGGTTCAGTGGAGCTTTCTTGAGCGCACTTGTTCAAGTTTCAGGAACAATCTTCCTCTGCTGAGCATGGAAGCCTGCAACCCTCCACCCTCGTAGTGTCGAAAAGAGCGTGAGACCTGGGTCCCAAACCCAGAAATCCCCAAGCCTTCGAAGGAGTACCATCCGGCGCTTCGTTATTTCATTCTGGTCAACGAGCCCGACCTGAAGATACTCGACTGCGTTTAAGCAGGGTCTGGAATGTCTTGGAAGTTTCAGGCTGCGGGGAAGCTGGGGGGTTTGAGGGTTTTGGGGCTGAGCGGCCCGTGCGCAGACGTTGGGCGTAGACCCGGGCAGGGGCCTGCAACTTAGCAGACCTTAGCAGCAGACCTTGGGGGGGTTGTTCGGGCGAAGGTTTTTTTTTTGGCCGAGAGCTTAGGAAGCTCCAAGCCATAAGGCCATAAGCTATGTAGGCCCCAAAAAAGACCCCGGGGGCCCTTGCCTTAAAACCGACTCGAGCCCTAAGTCTTGCGATTGGGCCTGCAGCGTACTGGCCAGGGAGCTACGCGAAGCACTTCTTAGGAGCAGAGCATGCTGCCATAAGTGAGCCCTCCTGTTGGCTTCTGCCTTCTGCCTTTCGGTTTAGGGTTTAGGGTTTAGGGTTTAGGGTTTAGGGTTTAGGGTTTAGGGTTGAGGGCCAGAGCGCAGCCTTGCCAGCTCTGAAGAGGCCTTCCGTCATCCCGACATGCCGCCCTGAAGCTCAGACTTAAGCAGTTGACCCTGAGCGGAATTCACAACCCACCCGAAAGGCCCCGCCTGAAAGGATTCTTCCATCTGAAGCCTAAACAGAACAGGTTCTAAGTGGCTTTGCAGCTTTAGACGGCGTCGGGTGGCCCTTCACATGCTGCGAAGTATCCGAAAGTTTGCGCAGCCATCTTGTGGCCAGAAGCCTCGCGGTGTTGCGACAGAACACCACCAACTTGTAACCGTTTAACCACAAAAAATCCCAAACCCTACCCACCAGGTCCAGCCCTCCCCTTGATCTCCAGGCTTCCGGGAGGTGCCACCGTGACCCCGAAGGGCCCCGAGCGCATGGTGAAGGTGGGTCGTGCGGAGCTCTGAAGCGAAGCTCGAAGAAGTTCTCGGACGTTTCGGTCTTGGGGTTTAGGGATTTTGATGGAGTTCAGGGTGCTTTTGGGGGGTTTTTGCTGTTTGGGGACTAACTATGAGTGACTTTTGGGTCGTTTGGCCGCTTAGGAAGAGCTTGCCATTCGGGGCTTGGGGGTGGGGCGTTCAGGGCGCTCTTAGAGCTCTGAGGCGTGCAACTGGCAAGTGGTTTGGGGCCTTGGGGCTTGCGTTTTGCGGTGCTGGAGGTGGCGCAGTCCTTACTTTTTTGCCTGACATCGGAAGCGCCCCAAGCGACAGGAGTAAAACTTCGGTTGAAACCTCGGTATGCAATGGTATACTACAGTGATCCATAAGCAGCTTAGCCCGAAACTTGAACCCCAAAACCTAAACCCTAAACCCTAAACCCTAAACCCTAAACCCTAGATCCTAAACCCAGATGCGCTTGCAAAGCTTCCTTCGCGGGCAGGCCATCGTCAGCGCCCTTGACGGGGCCTTGGAAGCCGAGAGCCCTGGCCTTCTTCAAACAGCCAGGGCCGCAGGGTGGTCCACGGGGGGCTCAGGGTTCAGGGGGTTGGTCTTGAACGGTTCAGAGCATGGAAAGTTGATGAGGTTGGGGTTTGGAAGACGAAGGGTCTCAGACAGAGTTCAGACCCCGAGCCCTTGAAATTTGTTGCATTATGGGAGCCCATGGAGTCATAGACGCTGAAGCCCTAAAGTGCCGTGGTTACTCGGTTTTCATGCATGTTGAGCAGTACAGCTTGTGCTCCTGCAAACATTTGTTGCAGGCTGCATGTAGGCTCATGCTGCCTGGCATGCATACTCGTAGTATGTCTTTGCATCGCCTATGCACATGAAACTTCAATGCTTACCTCGCACAGTTACTTTCCACCGAAACATTGTAACGCATCTGCACACCTCTCAATGTCTTTAATTGCACCGCACAAGTGCTCTTGCACGTCCCTATCCCTTGAAACCGATGGTGGGCTCAGATACCTGAACCATTTTCAGCCCGAAGCCACGCAAGCCAAGGAAGGAAGCAAACATCTCCGGCCCGCTGATCAACTTTACAGCCACCTTCTCCTACGCGGCTGGCCGGCTGCAAATATCAAAGCACCTGAACAGTTTAAGGGCTCATGTTTGCGAGTGTTCGAGGGCTTAGCCTCCCAAACCCATGCCCGAGACAAAGCCGCTCTGTTTAAGGTGTTGGAGGTGGATATTAGTGACTAAGCAGATGGCAACCACGTAAAACACAATATATGTATGTATGTATGCGTTTGTGCGTGTGTGTGTACATTTCCGACATTGATCTTTGCATGCAATACTTAGAGCAGTATATGTGTGTTGTTTGATTGTAGTGTGTTCATATATACTTACCACTACATCGTTTTCATGGGCTAGAATGTTCGATGACAGCTTGTTTTAGAAGTTGAAAGACACTCTTAGCAGTTTGTATTTACTCGACAAACGTCAAGCAAATGGCCTCATTGTAAACACACAACTTTAAGGCTTGGGTTTGAGTGAAGACGCTTGTAAACTATTTAAGCCACAATTCGTTCTAAATGTTAAATAGAGTGAAAGTTTGCTCGGTATTCATACTGGTGAGGTCTTCATGGATGCCAACATCACCAGCACTGTCATCCTCAATGATATTAGTATTCGTCAATATCGTTATGATCTTAAACCCTAAACCCTAAACCCTAAACCCTAAACCCTAAACCCTAAACCCTAAACCCTAAACCCTAAACCCTAAACCCTAAACCCTAAACCCTAAACCCTAAACCCTAAACCCTAAACCCTAAACCCTTTCTATTTTTCTGTCGTGCGGCCTCATGGCTGCAGAAATCATGCTTGACATGTATAATGTTATATTTCCCAGTGAGCTTAATATCAATTTCATTGGTAGTGTTGTGATCGTGAAACTGTTTGCCAGACACCTCTTAATTTACCCTCAGGAATGTATCTATGCATGGTTTAGATCCAGCATCAGGAAAGCTCCTCCCCCAAAGTCTTCAGTCCGTGACGTCTGGGAGGTTTTTAGGCTTTGATCGGGCTGCCCCTCTCATGTCAGGCTGCGGCGTGTCAGGTTCTGCTTGTAGCACGTGAAGTCAAGATGCAAGAATTGCGGGTGAGTGATTTGCAGCTCTGGAAGTCGAGCATGATTTATAAAACTGACCACTCCAAACCCATACAAAACGAGCCCAAATGCCCCAAACCCTAAACCCTAAACCCTAAACCCTAAACCCTAAACCCTAAACCCTAAACCCTAAACCCTAAACCCTAAACCCTAAACCCTAAACCCTAAACCCTAAACCCTAAACCCTAAACCCTAAACCCTAAACCCTAAACCCTAAACCGCAGATCGATCTTGAGATCTGCCTCGCCTGCGACGATCTGAACTACACCCCGGGTCTGGGCCAGATGGCAGCCCTGGAGGCTTCCCGGGGGGACGTCGAGCTGTTGGGGGCTTCGTAGTTGTTCGTACTTGTTTGTACTTGTTCGTACTTGTTTGTAGTTGTCTGTAGTTGGTTGGAGTTGTTTGGAGTTGTTTGTCGTTGAGTGTAGCGGATTTGGGTTTGGAGTTTTTAGAGGCTTGGTGTTGAGTTTTAGGGGTTGCAGTGTTTAGAGTTTTCAAGGGTGTGATGTTGGTTTAAGGGAGGTTAGGGGTTTAAGGGGGTTAAGGAGATAGGAGTTCATCATTGAGGGTGTGAGAAGGTGTGCCGCGGTGTAGGTACTTCGGGACCTCAGGGGGGTTCAGTGAACCGTGGTTGCGGGGGAGATTTTGACCTTCTTAGGACCTTGAATCTGGCCCTATCACCCCCCTGGGCTCTGTTCATGTTGGTTCGTGCTGTGAGCAGATGGCTGAGCCCAATCTTCAAGCTCCTTCCAGCCCGAAGTCCTAAGTAGCTTCAGGATGTTTTTGGGGTGTTGTGGCCCTTCTACACACCTTCCTGAACTTCTTGCAGTTCCGCTTGTGCCCCCGGACCCTGAACTGCAAGCTCGTAAGCCTCTAGCCCTAAACCCTAAACCCTAAACCCTAAACCCTAAACCCTAAACCCTAAACCCTAAACCCTAAACCCTAAACCCTAAACCCTAAACCCTAAACCCTAAACCCTAAACCCTAAACCCTAAACCATAAACCCCGAAGTCCCCTGGATCCAACCTTGCGTTGAGGATGGCATGTTGCATCCAGAGCGCTACGGCTTCCTTGACTCACAGAGATTGACATATGGTGTAGAGTACCGAGATAAAACCAGGCAGATCCTCCCACGTTGAGAGTTTCGGTTCCTCTTGAGGGGTGGAGGGGAGGGGTTTTGGAGCTTGGTGTTTTCACGTATGAACTAGCAACGGGGCATTCGAGTTTTTGTTTGGGGTTTGTCGCGAATCACACACTTCGAAGCTGCACGCTTGAATTGCACGAAGTCTTTGAGGGCCTGTGTTTCGAAAAGAGCAGGTGTTCTGGCAACCTCGTCGCGGGCTTTGTAAAGTTTGGGAGGGTCTTCCTGGCTTAGGAAACCCTTACCTTGATGCAGGTTTACGCCTTATGGGTTGCGCAGCCCAGGTTACGAGCCGCGCAACAACGCCCCCTGGGTTCGGAGAGTTGGGGCTCGCGGGCTCGCGGTTTCAAGCTTAAAGCTCGGGGCTCAGGTTTAGGGTTTAAGGTTTAGGGTTTATGTTTTAGGGTTTAGGGTTTAGGGTTTGGGGTGTGGGGTTTAGGGCTAGGCGGGGCCATAACAGACCCACGCGTTTTCGGCAGTTTAGCGCTGTTGCCCTCAGAATCCCCTGCAAATACCGATGTTTCCTGGGTTTCGCCCATCACCTCATCCCCGCAATTTTCATCCAAAATTATCCAACAATTTTTTGGGCATCCGTAGAGTGCACTGGTATTTGTGGGGTTTTTTGCACTACTTCGCACTTTCGACGTGTCCTAAACTAAGCCCTGTCTTGCTTGCATCCGCTTCTGCCCAGCCCTGGGTCAAAATAACACGTTTGCTTCACCATAGTTAGAAGAGAGCATCCATGGCCCAACCATGATGACGTCCATAGTCTAATCCGTTCTGGGAAGAGAGTATCCATGGCCCAAGCATGATGACGTCCATGGTCTACTCTGTTCTGATGAGAAGAGAGCATCCATGGCCCAAGCGTGATGACGTCCATGGTCTACATGTTTTCTGCACTGCCATGGCCCAACCATGATGACTCCATGGTCTACTCCGTTCTGGGAAGAGAGCATCCAGGGTCCAAGCATGATGACGTCCATGGTCTATTCTGCTCTGATGAGAAGAGAGCATCCATGGCCCAAGCATGATGACGTCCATGGTTTACATCGTCTAATCCGTTCCGAAAAGGTTAAACCTTCTTCTGGGCAGACATGGCTGGAAGTTCTTGCTTTTAGGCGCACTGGGGAGCAGAAAGGCGTCATTTCTCAACACTAAAGGCGGTGACCTAAGTCCTGCATCTCAGGTTTGCTGGTGGGGCCACAGTTTTGCGCGGGTCTGTTGTGGACCCGCCAGGGTTTAGGGCTTAGGGCTTAGGGCTCAGGGTTCGGCTCACTCTCACGGAAGTCCTCCAAAGACGGATAAAGGTGCAAAAGATCCTCAGGGCCTTTTGATGCTTTCGGAGGCAGGGTTGAAATCACGGTGTCAAGCCCCCGATGCGCAGAGCCCAGCCTATGCCAGAGAGATAGGGGCCTCAAACCCCCCCGAAAACCCACATGAAGACCCTCATCTTCAGGAGCCCCCCCGCTTTGCCTCAGGGCTTCTTGCCCAGTGTCTGCGCATATAGGCTTCTACGGTTTAGGGTCTAGGGTTTAGGGTTTAGGGTTTAGGGCTTCCCCTCTTTAGCACTTCTTCCTGTCCTTGAAGAAGAAGCAATAGACCATGCGCGGGGGGGGGCTGTAGCATGAAGCCCTTTCAGCTGCAGCTGGGGGTTTCAATCTTTATATATGCGCCAGCACTCATCCCCCCCTCCATGGTCTGGTATTCCCCTTCCCCCCGGTGGCTCACGGTGGGTTTTTGGGGTTTCGCCCCATCTCTCCCCCGGTTCATGGTGTGGTTCATGGTAGTTTTAGACTGGTGGTGAGCTCAGAGTTAGGGTTATTTAAATTTACGGTTTAGGGTTTAGAGTTTAGGGTTTAGGGTTTAGGGAATAGGGTTTAGGGTTGAGGGTTTAGGGTTTAGGGTTGAGGTGTAGGTTTAGGGTTTCCCCTCTCCCCCTCTGGTTCGTGGTGGGTTTTCGGTTCAGGGTTTAGGGTCAGGGTGAAGGCGGTTAAGGTTTCGGGCTTGTGAATGGTGTAGGGCTTGAGGTTCAGGGTTGAGGGCTTATATGGTTTCCCTCTCCCCCCATGCTTCGTGGTGGTTTCAGGGTTAACAGTCAGGGTTTGTTTTGGCGGGGGTCGAGAACGTGACCCTCCCTTTTCATAGTCTTCTTGTGTGTTTTTTCATGGTACACCACCAAACTCTGACCCTCAACCCTTAACCCAGCAGGAACCACAGGAGGGGAGAGGGGAAAGTCTGAACCTAAAATCTACTGAACCCTGAACCCTACAGACCATGAACCGCACAGGATGCCACGATCCCTAAGCCCTAAACCCAAACCCCAAGTCTGAACCTACCGTGAACTACGGACCATGAACCACACCACAAGGGGTGGGGGGGGGGGGACCCAATCGGGGGGGTGTGTGCGAATACTGGTGCATCTAGACGTCCGGGCAGCACCGATTGCCATGCTTTTTAGAAGGGGTTGCGGGCTTTGGTGTGAGGGGCTTCCTCATGATTCTTCAGCCTTCTTCACGAAGCTCCTATTCTCGCCGGACAAGCTCAGGTTTCTGAAGCGTATCGTACACGCTGGACGCCTCCTGGCTGGTTTGGGGCTTCTGTGCTTACGCTATATAAGGCAGCCAGTTTCCACAAGGTTCTTGCGAAGCTTTTCCCCGAAGCCCTCTTCGATCCGAAGACTGATATTGGCCTAGCCCCCCCCATGAGGTTAGGAGACGTTTGTGCACGCAGCTCCGGCAACCCTCCTGGTTTTACTGTGCTCGACCCTGCGTGGGTTTCTAGCTGCACTGAGCCCGAGATCTTTTGCCCTCAAACCCAAACCGAAGCGCAAAAATTCGGGACTGCGTCCGCAGCCTCTGCATGGGACGTGGGTGTTGTTAACGACAGTTCACACCCCCAACCCCTCATCAACCCAAACCCCCCCCCCCCCCCCCCCCCCCCCCCCCCCCCCCCTCAAAAAAACACACACAAAATATGAGAAAACAAAACAAAACCGAATTAGATCCCCGAAAACATCCCCAGGCATAGCTTCAACACCAACAACCCGGCACGGGATCTGGAGCCACAGTTCTTCAGCATCTATGGGAACAGGCAGGGTTAGTTCGGGCTTCAGGATGTTAGGGCCTAGCCTTTTTTGGTCAACAGTTTACGGGTTTTGAGGGCCTTCGGGACTCTGACTGAACTTGAGAGCCTGCATGTTTAAGAGGGCTTAGGACCACAAGTTGAGGGGGGCCCGAGAGCAATTTTCACTTCCCAGCTCAGCCCGCAGAAGAGCTTCAAATGGCCGCAGGTTCAGCAGTACTCCGGTCTTTATTGGGGACAGCTGGCTGCAAGAGTGCTCGTGGGTTTTTTTGGGATGGTTTTCAGACTTCCCGGGTCTTAGACCAAGGCACGCAGGACACATGCCGCTGAGGGGAGGTGTGTGTTTTGTGTGGCAAGGACGCGTTTGAGGTCTTTAGGTCTTAGGGCGTCGGCTTAGTTTTGTGGGTTTTGGGGCGCAGAATCAGCCCCCCCGCTTGACAGTTCAAGGGGCTGTGGGAAAGGCGGCTCGGAAGTCCGGGGGGGGCTGGTTTAGGGGTTTAGGCCTCTCAGGCTTGTCGAACCTCGGGGCTTCAGGTCCTTGTGGGTTTGCAGTGGGGGCTAGTGCGGCCCAGCAAGCGGTCTTCGGGCTGTTCTTAGGGTTATTTTTTCGGCACTCGCGGTGACGAAGCGCCCGAGGAGTACCACAACACCTTGCTGGCCTACCTGCAGCCGCCGCTGACGCTTGCGGAGGATCTGGCACAGGTCGGGGTTCCCCCAACGCGCAGGGCATTTCTGAAAACTGAAGCTCAAAGGCACAAGCCCTACAACTTTGGAGAGAATGGCTGAGAATTGCGATCTGTTCAGGGAGACTTGAAAGCTTTGGGTTGAACTCCGAAACTGATGGTTTAGACGACTTTGCCCCTTTCCGTGGAGTTAAGGTTTCGTCCTTCCTAACAATTTCAAGGCATGGCGGCGGTCAGCGGGCCGTCCGCGACCTTCACTCCACAGCCGAAAGCGTCAACTCACCAAACTCCATAAGATTGCCTGTCTTCCCTGGAACAGCCCGGCATATCATGTGTTGTGTGGTTTTCAAGCTCCGGGAAACCGAAAGAGGATGCAATTTCCTTTGTGGGCCGAAGTGCCAGAGCGACATGATCCAGAGATATGCTAGGGAGACTATCGAAAGCCGATGGTCAGCACGACAGATACGTTTCTGCATGGGCTTGGACAGGTATGAAACATGAACAGTATGTACTAGTGTCCGTTTTTTTTTTTTTTTTCTTTTTTTTATGTCCGGGTCGTGCACATGGCAGTAGCAAAATAAGAGCGCTATGCAAGCCCACTATGTAACGAGGTCCATGTAGCTGTCTGGGAGTAGCGACACGCGGCAGCTCATGTGAGATTCAAATCCGGAAGCAAAGCACACGAGCAGCAACGAGCGGAGTATGGGGCGGACATGGAGCTGCAGATCTGTGACCTCTTGGTCTGCAACACCATGTCTATGTGGCGTTGTTCCAGGTGCTAGACCTCGCCGACTCCACGGCCGCTCAGTTGCTGATGCAAGCAGGCATGGGGTGCAAGAGATCTGGCTCTATGGGTATTTACGAGTTTAGGTGTTAAGTGTCTCATTCTTAATGGGTGAAATGGGGTTTTCTGACAGCTTTCTGCGGGTGATGCACGCTCGAAGCTCAAACGGTCAGAACGGCGGCGGTTGTAAGACTTGAAGGGAACGAGGGTTCTGGCCAGCCAGGGCAACACAAACCGAAAATTAATGTAGAGTGGGGCACCCTTGAATCGTAAGGGAGTGGCAGACCTCAATCCGAAGCCCGCAGCACAGTTCCATCCCAAGACCCGTGAGCAGGCAGGAACTTTCTCTCTGAACCCAGCTCAGCAGACCCTAAGTCCTTAAGTCACAATCCGAAACAAAACCCAAAAACCCTGCCCTGTTTCCGCAGAGCCCCTCGCACACTTGTGGTTTTGGGGCTTCTATTCGTAATGCTTAGCTGAAGGTTTAACAGGCGAGGGTGGCGAGGATCCTTCCCGAAATCAGATAACTTCCTTCTACGAAAGCCGTCCCCGGGCATTTCGAGGGTGTTTGAGCTACATATGGCTGCCTAGGAGATGTGCGGCTTTCGGGCACTTGAAGCCTTAAAGGCCCCAGGTCGAACTCTTCAGCCCATCCCGCTGAGGAGCTATTTCTTGGCATCTCGTTCTTCCAATTTCAGGCGGCTGTCTGGATGTGGGTGGTTGTCAAAATTATGGTCCCTTTTTGGGTCCCCATTATAATACGGCACCTAATATTTAGGGTACCCCAAAAGGGATCATAATTTTGACAACCACCCATGTGAATGTCATGATCGGCATATTCGCCGCAGCCAAAGCTCTCGTTTTCAATGACCGTTGGGGCTTCCTTGCGGTTTATTGAGAGCAGCCAGGGGCATGTTGTTCAACATTTTTTGTTTTGTCTTTCTGTTCCTTGCGGTCTGTGGCCTGAGTATCAGAAATACAGGGCCCTTTGAACTGGTATATGAGGCCTTCATCTCCCTGTGATTCTGTAGAGTGAGGCTTAGAAAGCCAGGCTCCATCAGAGGGCTTTGTAGCAGGGTGTGTGAGATCCAGGTTTAGGGTTTAGGGTTTGGGGTTTAAGGTTTAGGGTTTAGGGTTTAGGGTTTAAGGTTTAGGGTTTGGGGTTTAGGGTTTAGGGCAGTCCAGATAACGCCCAAATGGTTTCCACCCTTGGCGGGGCCAGGGGTTCGGTTGGAGGCTCGCAGGAAGGCATGGAACCCTTGAATCTTGGATCTTCAGCTCGGGCGTGGACCGGAAATCCACTCCTACATCCTAAGCCCTTTGCGAAGTCATGAAGAGTTTATCCCGCATCTCGCACTGTAAATGCTCGGCCCAAGGTGAGTTGGCCAGCCCTCATACCCTCGAAGCCTAAACCCTAATCCCCAATCCCTAAACCCTAAACCCTAAGCCCTAATCCCTAAACCCTAAACCCTAAACCCTAAACCCTGAACCCTAAACCCTAAGCCCTAAACCCTAAACCCTAAAAAACCCAAACCCTGAACCCTGATTCCTAAGCCCTAAACCCTACAGGAGCCCTTATCCGACCGCAACAGGTTGCTTACTGGAAGGGCGGCAGCGAGGAGCTCTTCGGGCTCTTCGGCTCCTTGGCCCAGAGAGGCTCTCTGGTCTAGAGATGGACGGGGCGTTTTGTTTAGGGTTTAGGGTTTAGGGTTTGGGGTTCGGGGTTTAGGGTTCAGGGTTCGGGGGTTTAGGGTTTAGGGTTTCGGGTGCTTAGAGCTTGGGGTTCTTGAGTATGGCCCGGTTTGGGCCAGCTTCTTGCGGCCTGGGGAGCCCTAGCTGGACGCCAGAAGGAAGCAGGGAGTGGGATTGGGGAGGGAGACAGAGCGGGAGGAGAGGGAGGAGAAGAAGGAGGAGGAGAAATTCAACAACCGTAGTAGCACTTAAATAGAGAGAGAGAGAGAGAGAGAGAGAGAGAGAGAGAGAGAGAGCTGCATCTGGGCACCCAACCGAACCAACACACCACCCCAAATACAGGGGCGGGTAAAGATGCCCGGGGCTTCGGGCCCAAGCCCTTAGAAAGAAAGAGAGAGAGAGAGAGAGAGAGAGAGAGAGAGGGAGAGAGAGAGGGAGAGAGAGAGGGAGAGAGAGAGGGGGAGAGGGGGAGGGAGGGAGGGGAGCGGGGAGGGAGGGAGAGAGAACGGGTCAAAGCACTTGACTCTACAGCCCTAGCTTAGCCGCAGACAGCCGCCGTTCCTAATCTCTGTCTGCAAAAAACGCTGCCGACTTAGCCCGGAGTCCAAAAACTGCCACCCATTGGAACTAAGCCTCAAACTCTGCTGCTGCTGGGCCGAGGCTTGGGCCATTTCGAGGTCGCGACGATGCCCTACTACGGTCACGACTTCAAGGCCACTCCTTGGGGACAGGAGATTTGGGTGCAGGATTTCAGGGATTTCAGGAGCGCAGCTGCGCCAATCCCTGAAAGAGGGTTTGTATAAAAACCCTCTTATTCAACATCCTTCTTTGGTTTTCATAAAAAAACCCTGCTTTGGGAGTTTACGTGTCCTGTCCGCCCAGGTGTGGTGCCTTGTCCCTCGGATGAGCCCTGCCACTCCCAACACGACGCTGCCAGCGGTGCTCACTGAGGCGCCCCGAGTGGAAATTCCTGGTATGAAACGTTTTTGCTCGGTAGGCCCTTGGGATATTTTGCATACTTTTTGCATTTTCCCCTATTGAGTTTAAGTCATAACCTGGGCCAGGAGTTGCACGTGACGCAAACATACACAGTGAGGTTGTATTTTCTGCAAGAGGTACCGTTGCAGAGAATGCTGAAAGTCGGATGCACGCAGCTGCAAAGGTCGGATAGTTTTTAATCCATGCCATCGCATGCTGCGATGGCTCCATGGTACAGCCGGATGAGAGGGGTGGGTTTTCACACAATATCCATGGCTTTGACGGGAGGGGTGGGTTCCAACACATATGATTCCGTACATGTCATGATGAGAAGGGTGGGTTAAAGCGCATATTTTTCTTTTTATATATATTTCAGTCACCAGGTATCTGCCCCCATCCTATTTCACATGAAAGAAACGGCTTTGGTTTAAACCACATTGAGGGCATTTTTACATGGTGATTGCGTCAGCACGCCTCCTCTAGCAGCTGCCCATTGGATGGGGGGAATGATAATCCCAGACAACAAAAGGATGCCGTTATCCCAGAAAGCCCACGCGCACAATGAGAGCTGCGAGCCAACAGCCAACAAAGGGCAAAGCTACACCAAACAAGATGCGGATAGCAACAGGAGACCCGGATGACCAAAATAAGATGCAGTAAGCAGGCAACAGAGAGTTTTTTTACGAGCTGACTTTCGGCTGCAGGCCTATGGCGGGCCGGGCATCGATACAGCCGCTCTGCCTCGTTTGTCCTATCCTGCGCAAAGCGTGCCAAGTTTTCGGCGAGATGAAGTTGAGACCGAAGGGGTCTCGGAGAGCTTTGCAGCGTTTAGGAGCTAGTGGCTGCCCAGTGCAAAGACAGAGTACGCTTTGCTGTTGCGGGATCAATGGCTCCGATCCATCTCCCTTCTCCCTCCGAAGCCCTGAACCCAAAAATGCCTGCCTCCTGCTGCCTCTTGGGACGAGGAGTACCTCTGCCAGCCGAGCCCCGTGCCTAAGCTGCCAGAGTGGCATCTGATCTTACTGGTAGGTGCAGTTGTTTGGCTCGAGAGAATGTGTATGGCCAAAGCTTTGCTGACGAGTTTTGGGCCTGTGGGGGCCTTGAGGCTTGGGATTCTGTAGGACTGAGGGCTTCGGTTTGGATCTCAAATCGAAGGATCCTTGAGGGCCAGCTGTCTGCCCAAGACAAGACGTTTGAAGCCCTAGAACCGCTATAAGTCCAAAACCTTCGGGTAAAACGTAGGGGGGCTGATGCCCAAGCGTCATCGTGCCGCCCACTCGCGTTCAAGTCCCGTTCATCGCACTCACTGACGCACACGCACATGATCAGACTGCAGCAAGTGGATCCCTAAACCCAACTGGGACTCAAGAACCCTAAACCCTAAACCCTAAACCCTAAGCCCTAAACCCTAAACCCTAAACCCTAAATGCGAACAGAAACCATACTGCAAGTTCAAGCTTTGCAGTTTGTGAGTGCTTAAGCATCTCCCTAAACCCTAAACCCTAAACCCTAAACCCTAAACCCGAAACCCTGAACCCTAAACACTACACCCTGAACCCTAAACCTACTCCCTTGTTGCCTGAACTGTCAATCCTAGGGTCCTTCCGGGGGCTTTGCCTCGACAACTTAATGATATTTCCTCATGGCCCCTTTTGTAATTCTACTATAGCAGCCCCCAAAACCCTATTCGAAGCACTACGGCTCCCATATTAGTCTAACTCGAAGGTCGGGGCTGGCAGTGGCGTAGCTTCCCCTTGACAGAGTGAGCGCTTCCCTCAGGACGTCGTGCCCCTCACGCAGGTCGGGTTCGCAGAGATCGCTGCGCAGGCGAGTAGGACCCCCAAACCCTAAACCCTAAACCCTAAACCCTAAACCCTAAACCCTAAACCCTAAACCCTAAACCCTAAACCCTAAACCCTGAACCCTGAACCCTAAACCCTAAACCCTAAACCCTAAACCCTAAACCCTAAACCCTAAACCCTAAACCCCCCCACCAAAAAGGGCCCCCGCCAAAAAAAGGGCTCTGCGGAGCGGCTGGCAGCCTTCGCACGGCGGGTGGTTCAGCACCTGGGTGCGGAGGCCTCGGGGCGCTTTTTTCCTTGAAGAACTACAGTTTAGGGTTTAGGGTTTAGGGTTTAGGGTTTAGGGTTTAGGGTTTAGGGTTTAGGGTTTAGGGTTTAGGGTTGTGTGGGCTGATTTTATCCACTGAGTTTTACGTTGTTCTTGCTGCGCGATGCTTTTTGTCGCTTCAGGCTCTCTCACGCCCCTGAAAGGTGAACGACGAAGCCGCGCTGGTCAGCTTCGCGGATCAGTTCCTGGTAGGGTCGGGCAGGAGCGCCGGCAGCGGTGACGAAGCTGTTGTCCCCAAATACGTTGCAAAGACGGGTGCTTCCTGTTGCCATGCTCGAACACAACACGCCCCGAAATACCAAACGCAAATGTACTTCACTGGGCACGCGGCAACGCGCTTGACTCACCCACCCATGCATCCACTTCCACACGGCATTGCCCCAAGACTCGACAGATCTGTGCGCACTTGCCATTTTGCTGTGCAAGCTGTCTGCTGTCGCGAAGCTTTCAGTTTGCTGCCATGGAGCAATGTGAGCGGATGCGGAGCAACAAGGCCTGCACACGTTTGCATCAACCCCCCAAAGCGTAGCGGACCTTTCGATGCGAAACGCATGCGCGCAGCAAACAAGGCTGATTCGCCCTTATAAGTTCCTGCATTAACCGACGAGTTGACCGCAAACAACGATGTTTGCTGTTGTGTTGTGTTCGGCGCACTTGCCGCACAACCGCTTCTGCTGTCATCGAGGTCGCCAATGCCTGGGTTTTGGACACCTTTTGGTCTGTCTTATCTCCAAATGTCACCTCCCTGAACCCCGAACCCTAAACCCTTGACCCTGAACCCGAAACCCTAAACCTGGTTCGTTCAAGCTCCACAGGACCTTCAGCAACCTGGTGGTGGCCATCTCTTACAAGCCCGCGACAGCCCCAACACATTGCCGGAGTGGGTTTTCGGGCTATTAGGCCCGTGGGGTTTAGGGTTTAGGGTTTTAGGGTTTTAGGGTTTTAGGGTTTTAGGGTTTTAGGGTTTTAGGGTTTTAGGGTTTTAGGGTTTTAGGGTTTTAAGGTTTTAGGGTTTTAGGGTTTTAGGGTTTTAGGGTTTTAGGGTTTTAGGGTTTTAGGGTTTTAGGGTTTTAGGGTTTTAGGGTTTTAGGGTTTTAGGGTTTAGGGTTTAGGACTTCTGGGTTTTTCGGGATTTACTATTAACTGCTTTGCGAGAGTCGAAACCCTGCACCCTCTGACCGGCTTTGGGGGCATGCTCGGGTTCCGCGTCAAGGGGTTCGGGCTTGTAGCTTGTCCTGTGATCCTAATTTCTCTCTCAGGTCGGTGGGTGTGATCGTGTAATCTTCTGCCTCGTTTTCATTTGTCGCCTCTAGGCCCCCCAAATCTCGCAAGCCCTTCAATCTAAACCCTAAACCCTAAACCCTAAACCCTAAACCCTAAACCCTAAACCCTAAACCCTAAACCCTAAACCCTAAACCCTAAACCCTAAACCCTAAACCCTAAACCCTAAACCCTAAACCCTAAACCCTAAACCCTAAACCCTAAAACCTAAACCCTAAACCCTAAACCCTAAACCCTAAACCCTAAACCCTAAACCCTAAACCCTAAACCCTAAACCCTAAACCCTAAACCCTAAACCCTAAACCCTAAACCCTAAACCCTAAACCCTAAACCTAACCCTAAACCCTAAACCCTAAACCCTAAACCCTAAACCCTAAACCCTAAACCCTAAACCCTAAACCCTAAACCCTAAACCCTAAACCCTAAACCCTAAACCCTAAACCCTAAACCCTAAACCCTAAACCCTAAACCCTAACCCTAAACCCTAAACACATCGGGAATGTACCTTAAGGCTTGGGCGACCTTCAGCGCCGACGCCCGCTGTGTGGCCGATCCGGCCGCGGACGCCGGCCAGGTAGGGCAGGCGCCTGTTTGTTCTGCAACCCCAAACCCTAAACCCTAAACCTAAACCCTAAACCCTAAACCCTAAACCCTAAACCCGAAACCCTAAACCCTAAACCCTAAACCCTAAACCCTAAACTCCAAACCCTAAACCCTAAACTTCTTTTCTTCTCTCTTTCGCGCATTCGGTCTACTGTGCAGGATTTGAAGTAACATGTAGCCGGCCCAATCATCGTCGTGCTGTTCTCAGTAGGCAGAAATCAATCCATGGACAACCCGCCCCCAAACCTTTGACGGAGGAATTTTAGGCTTGGGGTTAAACCCCAAACCCTAAATCAGCACGTGACAAGAGGCTATTTCTTGGCTGTGTGGCCATGCGCCTGCCAACTTCTCCTGCGAGGCACCTTTACTAGAGGGCTGCTAAGGTTTGATGTTTCCGGCTTTCAGGTGGGTTTAGGGTTTGGGGTTTAGGGTTTAGGTTTTAGAAGTTATAGGGGCTTGAGGGTTTAGGGTTATAGGGAGTTTTGGCAGGTCTGGCTCTCTTTGTTTTGTCCTTGCGCGAGGTGAGGCCTCCCGGGTTCCCTGGTCCTTTGGTCCTCTGGTGTCCGCGCAAGCTTTCGGTAAAGAATTTCATGCCATCACGAGCCGAACTTGAAGCCCGTTTAGCCCCAATGTGCTGTATTAACCTCCATGTACTGTATCGTAGGTTCTAGAAGTTTCCGAGGATTCGGAGATTCGGAGCTTTGTTGAAACGGCCTAACTTTACACCCTAAACAATCCCTAAACCCTACGGACATGCTATGATTTGCAGTGCTTGGTGTTTTTGCTACAACCTACCCACGAGTTGAAAACATGGGCAGCTCTGGAATTTGCAGGGAACACCAAACACTGCGAATCACAATATGTTCATAGCGTTTAGGGTTTGTGCTTAGGAGCTTTCAAAACGCTCCAGATGCCTTGGACTCTTGCAGTATTTGAAGCGTGTGATCAGCCAAGGAGGGCCGGGCCAGACCTAGCAAAAACAGGGGGTGCCGGACCCATCACAAACAGCGTGCGAAGAATCTCAGCGAGGGGTGTCGGGAAGATAACGAAGGGGTTAGGGCTCAGAATGAGCTGTCGTGGAACAACTGACCATGGAAAACCAATGAGGAGCAAGCTGATCACGACATCCTCACGGCCATGGAAGAACCGATGATTGAAAATAGCAGTATATTGACCAGAGTGGAATCCTGTGAGATACATGGCCAAGAAGCTGCGTGACATTGAGGTGGCGCTCGGCAATTTCAGAGCATGAAAGCCAGTTGTTTTAAAACCGTGGGCCAAAACGAAGGAGGTGACCTCATGCGATATCCACAGCCTGAAGGTTGTTGTGATGTGGAGGTTGACACCACCTCAAAGCTGCAAGGAGGAACGGAAGATCGAGCCAACACTAAAAAAGGGGCTCGCGCAAGGCCAAAACCGCACTGCGTGTTATGTCTCCCTCAGCCCAGTATCCTACCCTAAACCCTAAACTCTAAACCCGAAACCCGAAACCCTAAACCTATCGTCGCATGCCCCGAAGCCTCCGTGGTAGGACGTGCCTGCATCATGCGCGGGAGATGCCTTCAGCACGGGAGACTGGCTTTTCAGCCGCTGGTACCGCCTTGTGGCTTGGCTCCGATTTCTCTGAGTCTTCTGAGTTTAGGAAGGAAACAGCTGGCTTTTTGTGCTTGGTGGGTGTTGAGTGAGGTGTTAGTGTTTCTGAGTCCGGGTTCATTAAACACGGAAATTTGACATGTCTGTACGTATGCATGTATGTATGTATGCATGCATGCATGCATGTATCTATACTTACTTATTTGCATGTTTTGCGTGCGGGTGTAAATTTCCAGGTAAGGTTGTGACGTTCTGCCTTTGGGTTTGCAAAAACAGCTCGATCAAGTTGGGATTTGACCAGACCCACCGGGAGCTGCATTGAAGGGAGTGTGACGGAGTGTGCGACAGCGCTTGGAATTGAGAGCATCTCTTCAGCTGTTTGCGGGTTAGCCGTTTCGCACAAGTCCTCCACTTGCACTTGCGGAAGTCCACCTTCCGTGGAATTTGGCTTCCAACAGCAGCGGCTCCCTCTGGCCTAAACATCTTAAAATGCTTTTAATGAATGTTGCAATAGTCGGGGCAGTGTGGTTTCTCTGATTTGTAGAAGATATGCTCGGCTTCGGAGCACTGAGCCTTCGGGAAGGGCGTGACATCTAGAATCTAGAGCTTAGAGTCAACACTCTAAGCCCGGGCTACCCTAAACCCTAAACCCTAAACGCTAAACCCTAAACCCTAAACCCTAAACCCTATACCCTAAACCCTAAACCCCACATGCGGGCCCTGACTAACCTTCGGCGTCTTGAGCTGCCGAGGCGGGGGAAGATCCGCTGCAAGACTGCAATTTTGGCGGCGCCGCGCTCTTTGCAGCCTGGGGCGAGAGTTAGAATCTAAGGTTGGAACCATGGGCCCTTAGCATGGTCGGTCCCTTATGTGTAGTGTATTTAAGGGGTATATAACAGGGGACCCAAATAAAGCGCCACACTTCGGATCCCCAACAGAAGGCCTTGTTGGAGCTGGGCTCCACGTATTGATGAGGCGGTCACAGGCAAATGTCGGGTTTGGGGACTTTAGGGCATTCAAGAGTTAAGTAAGGGGCTTGAGGGTATGTGACACTTCTTCCGTGCTGTGGTGGTTTTTGGTTGCTGTCCTCGCCCGCGCCCGAAGCCGCAAATGAAAGCTCCCTACCTTGGCAGCCAAGAAGTGCCAGGGTTTGGGGTTTGGGGTTTAGGGTTTAGGGTTTAGGGTTTAGGGTTTAGGGTTTAGGGTTTAGGGATTAGGGAGAGTGAAGCGTGAGGCGCTTTGCACGCAGGGGGTGGACGTCCAGACGTGATTGTGTTCAGCTCTCCAAAGGTTCGAACACCATCCTCGACCAGAAGCCAACCGAAAAACCTAAACCCTAAACCCTAAACCCTAAACCCTAAACCCTAAACCCTAAACCCTAAACCCTAAACCCTGGACCCTCGAATCTTCAAGGCAAGCCCCGCTCTGTTGCGTGGCCGCGCGGCGCGCTGTTCCGAGGTTTGCGTGGGGATTGGAGTGGAGCGTTTTGCAAATAGGGTATAGGGTATAGGATATAGAGCATAGGGTTTAGGGTTTAGGGTTTAGGGTAGAAGTAGAAGGCAGAAGGGTTTTTTCCGCTTGAGGGTTCCTTCAGATACGAGGCTCGAGAAACATGTCAGAGCTTTCAGAGGTTGTTGACAGCTGCATGCCAACCCCACTTGGCAAGCCCTAAGCCCGGCTGGAAACCCTAACCTGATAAGGGTGACTGTGCCAACTTACTGGTTCTTAGTAGGGAAGGAGGGATCGAGGTGCCTATTTCCGCGTATACGTACCCTTTAAGGGATTCTAGGAGGGCACAAAAACCCCTCATTCCCGACTAAGAACTAGGGGGGGGCCAAGCTCAGGGTTGAGTCTGAAGATGCCACGACCTCATTTTCGTCGCCAGCCTGCCTCAAGGGCCCCCAATCCCATAAGCCGAGCCTGAGCTTCGTAGGGGTTTGGCTTTTGAATGAGTTTTTCCCCCTGCGGAGTAGCCCGAAACGGTTCTGGGAAGGTGTGCGTGCAACAGTGTACCATGTTGCGAAGCCGCCGTCGGCGCACCCGAAGACTTTGGATCTTTGATGCGGCCTTTGCCAAGATTCCAAGAGACTCTGCAGCGTCTTTAGGAAGCTGGTGTTGATTTGACCCGGGAACGTCCACCAAAGTACCCTGGCCCCCTAAGCCTCGAACCCTATACAGGCCTTTCGAGACTTGTGTCTGTGTCCCTGATCGCCAGGCCGACGATCGGCGCCTGGGCGAGGTTCCCTATTTCCAAGAAGTGCTGAGAGTTTAGGGTTTTTGGGCCGATAACGACGCCTAGCAAGATGAGTTGAGGGTGAGATGAGTTGTCGGGCTCCTGGTGCGCGCCTCATCCTGTACCCCCCCCTGGGCAAAAGCTGTCGCAACCCTCTTCCAAAGCCAACGCAATTGAAACTGCCAACAACGACTGCGCTGTCAGCGAAGCTTGCATTCACCCCCATTCGCTCGTCTTGGCGGCGTCGATGTCGGTTGTCACTGGTCCGGGATGATGTCTCGGATGCTGCGGTGCACATACACGTAACCCCCTTTGATCGAAGGAGAAGTTGGCCCAAATTAAGCCCAGGGGATGTGCCCTCGTTGTCGGCTTGCCACTTCGACGGCACGAGCCGTAGCGGCGCGCCAACAGGTTTTGCAACCGCAGTCGCGCTGTTGCTATTCCGAAAGCCGGAAGCATCAACCTCCCAACTGTCTGCAGGCATTGTGCGGATCTCTGCCTTCCGAGCCCCAAGGTTGATGCTAACGTGATTCCTGTAAGGACCTGCACAGGGCTTTCAAAGAGATACCAAGACCACCAGGGCTACTCGTCGCCCCCGCCGTGCTGTTCACATGCTTCCCCGAAACACAGGAAGCCTGAGCTTTCGGCTTGCCTTTAGAAGTGGCCATTCTACCCTCCCCCCCCACCCGGAACTTGTGGCGAATTCCATTTGCACTGGTGCGGCGTTTGGGCCCTTGGAGGTCTTTGTAAGTTCACATAAGAGCATATCTTCAACCGTCCTATCCCAATGCGAAGAATCCTCCTCAAGCCGCTAAGCCATGCTTGGAGGGTGCTTGCAACCCTCAAGCCCAGACCTCACATTTCCCACCTTCAAAGCCGGCTGAACTCCAAACCCATCTGCAACACGCAGGTCCTGGTATGATCGCCTGACTCCAAAAGAATGAGGTTGCATGACCAATGACTCTTCCGGATTTTTTTCGTGTATGCGCAAGGTTGCAAGGTTGCATTCTTCTTTCGCTGCCTACCCTACATGCCTACTTTGGGTTCGAGTCCCTGGCCGTGTGTTAGCTTGCATCGAATTCGCCTCGGGGCTGTGTTTGGGTTGCTTAAAGGTGGCCGTCAAGTATACAGCTTGGCGTGGGCGGCTCCAGAGGACTGCTGCCACATTTCAGCCGCGTTGAACACTGGAGCCCCAAAAGCATCAGCCCGGAGCTCTACGCTCCCTACACTCTTTCCCTTGAGTCCTTGTTTTGGAGCAGCCTCGGTCTTGAGCCTTAACACAGCGGCCCCAAGACGGTTGAGGAAGATTGCATCCCAGGAAAAGCATCTGTAGAAGTCTTTGTTTCATAATGGACACAGGTCGTCGCCAGACCCGCAGAACCTTGCAGACTTCCCGTATCTGCCCCTCCAACCGCAAAGAGACGACCCTCGGGAGCCACCTGCAAAATTTGACTGCAAGGGTCGCAGTTCCCGCCCTTGTAGGGTTTAGGGTTTAGGGTTTAGGTTTTAGGGTTGGCTGTTTAGAGGTTTGCAAAGAATGGGAGCTGCGTGCCTTTTGCTTGCACAGGTTTGAGTCGATCTCCGAAGACTCTTCGGAAGGGTTTGAATTTCAGGGTGTCTTTTTATGCCTAGGCTTCATGTCATGGGGCTTCCTTCGATTTAGAGGATCCGAATATCCCACATTCTTAAATACCTTGCACTTGAAGCCTTTAAGGTACAAGCCTTAAACCCTAAGACCCTCGGGTGTCAAGAATTTTTTGTTACCAGCCTTTCTATCGGGTCGTCAAGAGCTCGTGGGAGATCGCGACAGCCGTGGCCTTGTTTTTGACCAGTGCCGACCACCCTCTCTGGAGTTAGGCTTTTGAGGCTGTTTAGGTCTCAGGGATTGGCGCTTCGGGCTTGGAATCAAATCGACATGGCCGTGTTGAGGGGGGGGGGAAGGCAGTAGGGGGTGAAGGGTTCTTGGGGGTTACTCGAAAGCCCCGATCGGCCCTGTCCAAGATTCCTCATGGTTTGACACCACATGGCTGGAGTACTGGGGTGCTCGTTAAGCACTTAAATGAATCCTCTGAGTCCTTAAGGTCAACATTTCCCAGGCTGTTGACGGGTGGGGTTTAGGGTTTAGGGTTTAGGGTTTAGGGGGTTTCCAGAATCTGGGGGGCGGGGCGCAGGCTGTGACACGGGCCTTGGCATACAGACTTCGTCCGCTGGGCTTCTGGGCTCCTTTCCCGCAGCGAGGCGGCCAACGCCACCTTTGTGAAACGCGGGTGGGGGCCTGGAAGTGGGATCTCCTTTGCTGCCTGCTTCGGCCAGTGTCCATGTTTCAGATCAACCTCAGCTGTTTTTTTTTTGTAGGATTGGATTCAGGGGTGTCCCGTCTGCAAGATTCTCAGGTTTCGGGGGTGTTTAGGCGGCCTTGTCGTGTCAAACAACGTTTCAGGCCGTTTAGGGCCTTTAGCACTACCACCCGACGGCTTGCCCTCCAACCACGGTTCCCAAGAACCCTGAAGGTTTTTCCCATTTGACGGTCACCGCTGTCCCCTTATAAACGAAGCACTTGAAGTTCAGGCTCCAGGGTTTAGGGCACGGGTTTGTTTTGCACTTCTGAGCTGGCTAAGGGTTTCTCGTCGGGTGTCGATTTGGCCAGAAAGCCGTCCGACTGTTTTGACACTGGTGGGCCCCATGTCGGCAGCAATCCGATCTTCTCTTCTGGACGTAAGCATTCCTCTGGCCCTCGAGCACCGGAGTGCAGCGTTTTTTTGTGAGCCCTCGGTGGTCAGCTCTCAAAAGTAGGGTCCTTATTTGGGGCCCTAAACCCTAAACCCTAAACCCTAAACCCTAAACCCTAAACCCTAAACCCTAAACCCTAAACCCTAAACCCTAAACCCTAAACCCTAAACCCTAAACCCTAAACCCTTTTCTGGGGTGCCCTGGCTCTTAGGGGCCGCCTTTTTTTATCGTAGCCCCAGAATGGAGCCATAATTTAGAGAAGTGACCACCCTAAGCCCTAAACCCTAAACCCTAAACCCTAAACCCTAAACCCTAAACCCTAAACCCTAAACCCTAAACCCTAAACCCCAAACCCTAAACCCTAAGCCCTAGACCCTAGATCCTAGACCCTAAACCCTAAAGGTAGACAAACCTTAATTCCAATCTTAAGCTTCGATGGGCCGAGCCATGATGTACAGCTGGTGCCGGCATGCACCATAGGAAGCCACGCGCGGAGAGCCCGTTGAAGGCTTTGGGGATGATCTCTGGCTTGGGTTTCAGGTGCAGGGACTTGTATTTAAAGCTGTCGGTCCGGGTTTGAAGCTTGGGGTCTTAGGGCGTTGGCCCGAGTGCGAGATGCAAGTTTCTGGTAAGCTGGAGGACCCTTTGTTTAAGTGGTGTGGTTTAGCAAGCTTGGGTTTTGGATGGCATCTCTTGCTGGTGATTGCCAAAGGTTAGCGCATATTCGAGTGTTGCTTCTCGCGCCTGGTCATGTGTTTATGTTTCGGATTCAATCATGAGTTTGTCCTTATGATCTTAAACTGCGAGTGGAAGCCAGGATTTTACGCCGTGATCTCGCGAAGGCAAGAAACTTACTTCTCATTCTGTTCCCAGTTGCAGCCCTGCCTACAGGGATCCAGCCTGCGATCCTGGTTTTGGGGGCTTTGTATGCCTTTATCACGTCATCCGCAGCGAAAGACCCTTTTGATTTCAACCTCAACCTTGGTTTAAGGCTTAGGGTTTAGGGTTTAGGGTTTAAGGTTTAGGGGTTAGGGTTTAGGGTTTTACATCCTGAACCCCGCTTTGACCCTCCGACCTTTCTGGGGGCTTCCTTGGTGGCTTTTGCGGGCCCTCCCACGTGGCTGCCGGGAAGGTTTCAGAAGACCCCTCACCTGGCTGTCCTGAGCTGTTGAAATATCTCATGAAGAAGGATCCAACTTGTAGAGGCGCAGGCTTCGAATATGGGAGAACTTCCGACTTGTCAGGGAGGGGCCTTCTGCCCCAGGCGTCTTGTGAAGGAATTCGTCTTTGCGTAGGATGCCCGCTGCAGAGACTGGAGTCACGAGCCCCAAAGGGCGTTGGGACCCTCCCCCACCAGAGGCTTTTGAGTCTGGAGGTCTTTTGAGAATCCAGAGCCACAAGGGTTTAGGGTTTAGGGTTCAGGGTTTAGGGTTTAGGGTTTCCACGCCTGGATGTAGGATTGCAGGTTCAGGGTTTGCGGGCATGGTGTTTGGGGGCCTTAGGTGTGTATGCCCGGAGAAGCGCGCGACTTCCTCATCCCTCCCCCCCCCCCATTTCATGCCGAAGTCTCTAAAGCCTCCGCGCACGCTCAATACAGAGCCAAGGGGCTTTCCATGTGGTGTGCAGGTGGGGCTCATCCTGTGCGGACTGAGAGGTTGAAAGCACGGTATTGTGGGCTTTGGATTCCTTTACTTTAATACTTTTTTTGGTTCTGGGTTCCTATTATTGCTACTTATTACCTAAAAAGTATATACTTTTTTTCCAGGGTCTACTCCAAAGCTAAGTTATTGTGGGCTTTTTTTGAGGGGGCATTTTGCGGGGGGTTGAAGGCTGATGTGCGTAGGAGGCCCAACTTGGACACTCCCCGGTGCGAGTTTGGCTGCTTTTGGAGAAAGGCCAACCGGCAGCGTTGGGGGCTTTGGGGCCTTCTCGAGGGCTCCCTCCCGAAACTTCGAAGTTTTGTGGAAGCCCCTTTAGGTGGAGGCTCTATTGGGATGATAAGAGAGATTTGCAGGTCTGGGGTTTGAAAGGGTCCAGAGCTTTGGGTGCTTGTGTGCTCCGCAGCCGTTTGCGCAGAGCCAGTGGGCAGTGGCCTCAGATGCAGCTTCCTCGCAACACCCGAGCCCGCAAGTCTGCAAGTCCCCAAAGCCCGAAGTAGGCAAGATCTTAACAGCACCAACCTTCAAGACGCCCGAGCCCCACCCTTAAATCCCAAACTCGGAATAGCGCCTACACCCCGTCCTTGGAGAAGCTTTGGAGCTTAGTCCCAGCATAAAAAAGTTCAATACAACCGAAGTCTGCACACAAGAATGCTAGACCGCGTTGGCCATTCGTCGCGTGCAGCTTTGTGGCACTAAAGGGAGGATGCCGCAGCTCAATCGCTTATGACTCGAGGAGGTATGGACGAATGCAATGTCGAAAATAAAGTGCTTTTTGGATGTATGTGCCCTGTGCAGATATTTTCTGAAGTCGCAAACCGAAACCACACTCCCGTGTGGAATACAGTGCTCGGGTAATCCACTTTCCTCCACAGAGGTTTGGGTTAACACCCTTAACTCAAAGCCTGGCTTGCAGTTCAACTAGCTTGAGTTTCTTTCGCCGAAGCCCCAAACCTCTCACTAGCCCAGCCCTCGGAAAACCGGAAGAACGTTTCTCGGAGAGGGAGAGAGAGACAGAGAGAGATCGTAATGCGGGGGAAAGGGGGGAACGAAGAACGCTCACCACAGCCTCACCGTTTCCCTGTCACATCTCACAACGACGACTGGTGGACCTGGGCGCGCCCAGAGCGCGGGGGCGGTGACGCCCTTCAAGCCCAGAAGAAGAAGAAGAAGAAGAAGAAGAAGAAGAAGAAGAAGAAGAAGAAGAAGAAGAAGAAGAAGAAGAAGAAGAAGAAGAAGAAGAAGAAGAAGAAGAAGACGAAGAAGAAGAAGAAGAGGAAGAGAGAGAGACAGAGAGAGCTAAAGAGATACATGTCCCCTGGTGCAACCGACCCCTACCAAGCGCGCTTTTCACAATGACTGACTCCATGGAGCGTTCCGCTAAGTTTATCAGATTCCTATCAATTTTTAAAGGATTCTTATTCATGTTAAAGGGAGTCGTATTTGTCGCAATAGGGTTCTCATTCATTTTGAGGGGACTCCTATTAACCCTTTTTTTTATATGACTCCTATTACATTAATACGCATCAAATAA